CTAATCATGTTTGTAATTGAACGGTAAAATATCAAGGTTTCAATGTTCTCACCTCATATGGTCATTCGCTCTATTGTTAGCCTATGATAGAAACTATATTATTTCCGGAGATTCACTTGTTTACCTTTCAGTGCTTAAACTGTAATTTACATTTTAAATAAATTTATCGTAACATTTTTCAACATTCCACTTAAACGATAATATAATATCAGTCTTAAAAGCTCGACTTGCTCTTCCCAAGTTGCGTCATTTATGGCGTTGAAGAGATATCCGTCTACCAACCAAAGGGCGGCTTTGCTGCTCTGCAATTCTCACCGTCTTACTTCATGGCTGTGAAACATGGCCAGTAAGAGCAGAAGATATTCGCAAGTTACTGGTTTTCGATCATCACTGTCTTTGAAGCATGACTCGTATACCCTGGAAGCACCGAGTAAACATTGCTGGTATGAGGAAACCGGTACTACGTAGGGATGGCAGATCAACAGATCAAGTGGTGATACTTCATCAGTTGAGGTGGTTGGGATATGTGTTACGTATGCCCAACCACCGACCGCCTCGACGATCGATGATATTTAATGTAGGGATAAGTCGAAAGAGAGGTAAGGATGGCCAGACCGAAACATGGCACAAATCCGTGAAGTCATCGACAACTGGACTGAGCCATGTTAGTCGATGTAGACTATCAGGTTAGTGTCTGTGAGACAATAGCGACCGATGGTCAGAGACCTTGAATGACATGGCTCAAAATCGTTCACAATCGCGCAGATGCATCCATTCTTTGCCTTTTCTCAAATTTTGATCTGAATTCTTCATGACCTTTATCTTTCTCTTTTTACATTTGTCTCACTGGAATATACGTCTTGAATCATATCTTCGGACCCTAATCTTCTTTACGGCTAATACTTCTACTATTACTACTACTATGAGATTTGAATTGACAATTCGATCTCTGTGTGTTTATGTGGTATGGCGACTTGAACTGTTGCACGTACGTACGAAGTTCCACATTGTAGCTGACTGTCCGACTATCAATTTCAAGTTTCATGGAATTCACTAGCTTTTAATATTAACTACCCTAGCCTAAACTAATGCGATAAACTATCGTTCTACAATTTCAGAAGTTATAATAATAGGGATGTGTTAAGGAACTCTAATTGAAAATCAACGTCTGATATAACTTTGGTATTGAAATATTTTTCTAACCCTCGGTTATTACTACAGTAGATGCGATAATGCGATAATAATAAAAATAATAATAATAACGATGATAATAATGATAATAAACAGGCAACCGACCACTGGATTCTAATACACACTGCAAAAAGAATAGATCATATGAGACTAAGTTGTACTATTCACGATCAAAAGTAAAGAACAAATGCATAAGTGGTAGACTATATTTTACTGAACAACACAAGTAAAAGCCACTACTTACACTTAGTCCAGAGTAAGAAATTAAAATATATAGTCGTCAGTAGGCTAAGTGTCTGTTTGTTCACCCTCCAAGATCAATCACATTTTGCTTTCACAATTCAATGGTTCATATTAGACTTAATTTTTTTGCTCAAACGCAATTATTGGTACAAATTGTCACCTAAGTATTTATGGAACACACAAATTATTAAATTTTCTTTGAGCTGGAATACCATACAGGTGCCCAAACCGAAGCAGTTGGTTTTTAATAGACCGCTCCCCGACACTTAGAACTCGATGTCTATTTCACAAGACAATGGAGTAACCTTAGAATATTCAATCTCGTGGTAGCCGGTGACCAATAATTGGTTCACTTGTCATTCGCCACCTCACGGTCGTGGAGTCAATGTGTGCCATTAGTTTAGAAGTAGGATTTTCCAACTTCCCTACGTTGATTCTCTGTAACCCTTAACCGAGGCAAGCACTGTACATTTACTTTTCATCCTCTCAATTTGGTAAACAACATCCTGGTGGTGAAATGCAAGGGAGTAGGACATAATTGTCTGTGACTATACACGCGTGGCCGCATGAGTGGATTTTTGGAGAGAGAGAGAGAGAGAGAAAGTAGACTTCACCCTTGTGATCGTATCCGGATATTTTTGGGCTTGGTTCTTTTGTATACATTAACTAGTCATGTGTATTCTCATATTCTTATCTAGATTTAATCTAGTTTATTGTGTAAATAAGTAATCTGTTAAAACATTTATTCAATTTTACTCTGAACGTTAATTTCTATAAGTCTATTCCACACATTATTATAACCACTTTTGTCTGACATTTTTCTATGTGAATTTACGGTCAAATGTATGAACATTTTTTGAAATTAAGGCAAACTATCAAAACTTGCTAAATGTTGTGTTTCTCAAGTTGGAAGTATCTATAATTCAACCAATAAAAAGACTTTTTTCATTTGTAATATTTCTTATTCGAGTAAATCTGATCGTTTCAACGAAATGAAAAAGCATGAATAGTTTCTAGAGCCTGACGAAATCTATAAATGTGATATGGTTAAATGTTTTGATTGTTTCATTATGCAAGTATAGAATAAGTAGGGCAAAATTCTCATGAGTTCACTGACCGTTAGTAAGTAGTTTGAATGATCATTGTGGTTGGAAATTTTTATCATCCACTTCTAACTACTTTTAATTCTAAATGAGTAGTGTATCTTATATTTTGAAGTATTTGTTTCACACCTCAATGAATAGTTTAGAATATGGATTCGAATTTCTTATTACTTATCATGTTTGTTTTAACATCTTGTTGAAATTGTGAGCTGTTCACTAAACAAACCTCATTTGTCTTTTCCTCTCTCTCTCTCTCAACCAATTCATATTCCATTGACAACTCATCAATCTCAATTCGGCTCAAATCTGTTGATGACAGAATGTAAGTTCATATTTGCTTTATTTCTTATTTGTTGAGTATTTCTGGCATTTTTTTTGTTAAGATGAGGCATATCGTAACATGAATAATGGAAATCGCTCATGAAACACAGATCTAACAGTTTTATTTTCTTTTTCGCTGAAATCATGAATCATTCATTGTTAACCCACCTTTAAAAACCTGGAAGCACTGAACGGCTGTCTTGTCCTGGTATGGAACTTATTAGCAGTGCACATCCACGACTCCCACTCGCAGGATGCGAACTCAGGACCTTCAGTCTTGCGCGCTAACGCTTGACCTGTGGACCACAGAGCTGGCAGCATCCAATGGTGTTAATGTCTAACTTTGGTCAATCTAAGATTTATACCCAACCCCACCGATTGTATTCGGTAGATAAATGCCTCAATAAAAACCCCGAGAATTTCTTCATGAATCTAGTCACTAATCAGCACATTGTATCATATTCACTATAGAGTTATGAGTAAACGTTTTTCGTTAAAATTAATTTTTACTAGAAGCACAATTAATTATTGAAAATATTTATAAGTTTGTTCAATATCTGAAACAGTTTTACTCGTTGAAGTATTATTTTATTCTCCATAAAATATCCATTCGACATAACTGTTTTCTGATTGGCCTGGAAATTTGCGGCAGTTGTTTTAAGCTCGTTCCAATGTTGTCATCGTTTACAATATCAACTAACTTGGTTCATTTTTAGCTGACTTTTCAATTCGGGCGATTTCCGCCACATACCATGTTTTTGGTGGGAGTTTTTAATAAGCTACAGCAAACTATGCAGATATTAGCGGTTGCTCACAGTGGAATCTTGCACTTGGGTTTCATTTTATCTAGTGCTCGTCATCTAGATGAACCTATATCTCACAGTTGATGTGTGCTATTTCGCGCCAGGTACTAGAGATATTTTTACGATTTAGGTACAGCTAGATTCACATGTGAAACAAACTCAATACACTTTAGTTATATTTAACCTCAGTAATTTAATACTAACTATTCACTCAAATGTGCTAGTAGATATTTTTACTACACTTACGTATTTACTTACGCTTGTTACCTCTGATGGTTAAAGATAGGCCGCTGATTAGCACTTTTATTCTTCGGGTTAGCGTTTTTTTCAGCATGTCGATTTTCTACGGGTTGAGATCATTAACCTCCATGCCTAACCCTGCTCCTTAATTTGGGCTGGGGACCAACAGTAACCGTAGGATGGCTCTAGCCTGAGTGATTTTTTATAATCATTATACTGAGTTCATTAAATTCTCAAACATGTTATTCTTTTTCAATATGTTGTATTACATATATATTAAGGCGTATTGCTATATAGAGCTGAATGTTTCCTATGAGACTAGAGGTTCTTTATGATGAACATTATAGATGGTTTGGCATTACTTTGGCAAGTCTCGCTATTTGTTCGTATACAAAATTGGTTTTCCGGGTGACCGATTTGAATGATACTGGTAGTGGCGGTTGTCTTGTAACTTTTTCGAGGGCCATTATCATTGGGATGCTTTAATGCATGTCACCATTGCTTGTGACAGTCATTTAGGTAGGATAAGTCACATTGGCCTGTTCATGCTATGCATATTGATTGACGACGTGATCATGAATCGGATATAATCATTATCGTTTGCAATCGCACAAGTGCATCCATTCTTTGAGCTCTGTCAAATCCTAATCTTCTGGATTCGTCAACACCTCTACCTTTGTCTTTCTAACCTTATCTTACTGAATTATACTTCTTGAATAATATCTCCAAACCCTTGCTTTCTACATTACTACCATTAATACCTCTACTATCTTTATCACTATGGGATTTGATTTAACATTTGCGTTTCTGTGCTAATGTGATGGTATGGCAACATGAACTTATGTACATACGTACGAAGTTCTACGTTGCAACTGACATGACATGACATGACATTGATGTACCCAATATGTGAATGGTCTACCATAGCGTGTCAGATACCTATGTGGTGGTTGCGCTACAGGATTGAGTTGTACTGTTCATAGGTTGTAGTGTCAACCACGTGGACAGTATCTGCTCATCATGAAAACCAATGTAGAACCAGCCTTGACCATTAAGGGTAAATTTATTTGTAAAAATTGAATAGTACACATATCATTTCATGGTTATTTATCAATTACATTTGGTTTGTTTTTTTTCTTCTTTTGAATGTTTTGTTGCTCTTAGCCAATTTTTTTTTGCGTTTATTATAGGGTCGTACACCTTTACATATTGCAGTGGTTCATTCACAACGAATTATTATTCGTGCTTTAATTGATGATTTCAGTAAGTGTAGTAGTTATAATGAGTTATTTGAGCCACAATTGCATAGTGTTGATAGATTTTAAACTTATTAGATTTTTCTTACTGGTGTAACCAACCACTCTACATCAACTACATTGACTAAGAGAAAGCATTCGATAGTGTGGATAGGAAAACACTATGGAGGCTTCTTGGATACTACGGCGTGCCTGAGAAGATAGTTAACATCATATGGAATTCTTATGATGGATTCAACTGCGAAATCGTACACGGAGGTTAGCTGAGAAACTCGCTTGAGGTGAAGACCGGTGTGAGTTAAGGTCGCTTACTCTCACCCTTCCTCTTTCTCCTGGTGATCGACTGGATTATGAAGACGTCAGCATCTGGAGGGAAGCAAGGTATTCAGTGGACAGCTATGACACAGCTGGATGATCTGGACTTCGCAGATGACCTGGCTCTTCTATCTCACACTCAACAAAAAATGCAAGAGAAGACGACCAGTGTAGCAACAGCCTCTGCAGCACCAGTAGGTCTCAACATACATAAAGGAAAAAGCAAAATTATCCGATCTAACACAACATGCACCAACCGAATCACGCTTAATGGAGATACCTTGGAGGACGTCAACAGCTTTACGTATCTCGGCAGCATCACCGACAACCAAGGTGGATCCGATGCATATATGAGGGCACGGATTGGCAAAGCAAGGGCTGCATTTTTACAGTTGAAAAATATTTGCAACTCCAAACAAATATCAATCAACACTAGAATGAGGATTTTCAATACAAATGTCAAGATAGTTCTATTGTATGGAGCGGAAACTTGGAGAACTACCAAAGGCATCATCCAGAAGATACAAGTGTTTATTAACAGTTGTCTACGCAAAATACTTCGTATTTGTAGGCCAGACAAGATCAGCAACAACTTACTGTGAAAGAACAAACCAGATTCCAATGGAGGAGGAAATCAAGAAGAAGCGGTGGAAGTGGATAGGACACATGCTACGAAAGGCACTCAACTGCGTCACAAGAGAAGCCCTCACATGGAACCCTCAAGGTTGAAGGAAAAGAGGAAGGCCTAGGAACACATTACTCCGAGAAATAGAGGACGACATGAGAAGAATGAACAAACACTGGAAAGAACTAGAAAGGGAAGCCCAGGACAGAGTTGGTTTGAGGATGCTGCTGGTGAGCGGCCTATGCTCCATTGGGAGTAACAGGCGTAAGTAAGTAAGTACTAGTCTAGCGAACGGAAGGCAACAAGACTACATGGAATATGTGATCTATTTGAAAAAGAGACAGTTAACTAGCCAGAATGTATACCACCTCATCTTCAAACACCCATTTTCAGTACAAGCGGATTACTGGTTGTCTTCTTTCAAATGTTTTCTAGTTTTCAAAACATTTTGACCCCTCTATGCTTTAGGACCCGACATTCCTCAGTAGTACTAACTTGTGTGCGACACTCTATGGCATACTATTTATAAGTCACGTTGCGAGCACTTTGCACAACGCTGGTTAGATAAGTAAATATAAGTCAGCGATAAGCTGATGGATCAGGTTGGAACACCTTCGTAATCAATTAGTCAAACTGCAAGTAGATTCACAAAAGTGGTCGTTTTTTTAAAGATGGAAGGAAGGTGTCGGGCTTTGCCAAAATCACCCTAGGAAATGACTCTAGAAGCCTAGAAACTCCAGGTAATGCGTAAATTAACCAGCATTTATTAGGACCCCAAAGACATTTGGGAAAAGTCGCATCACGTCCTGCGTTTCTAGTTGGATATTAAATCATACCGCTATCATATATTTAATATGGTTTCCGAAACTGTCGAATGAGTATGGTTAGATGTGACTCTATTTACATCCTCATTTTTCTGTACATAAACTAACTTTGAAGTAAAGTGTTCGTTTCGTACTTCGTGGCTTTTCTCCTGTGTTCATATTGCCACATAGAGTAAATATGGCGTTGCTAAGAAGGGACTTAGAAATCGAATCTTGTTTGTTGATTTAGCAAACTATGTTCATAGTTTTAAACGAATGGTTTTCTTTCAATTTTGGCTGCTATTCTTAATTATTTGTACAATTTCGATGTAATAATTTTAACGTTTTTGCAAATATCCTTCTATTTATTAAAATATCTTACTAGTCTAATTGGATCAGGTTCAGTAAGTCTAAATGTTTTCTCAATTCCAATTGTTATATTAACGGAGAAATGTCTATGAGACTATTTGTTTGAATAGTAGTCATCTGAATCTAAACACTTGAATTCAATCTTCATCATATCGGATTAGTCAGTTGCTGCTATAATTTAAATAAACCACATTATTGAAACTATGAACCACCATTTTGGAGGCCTGAAATCATTGGACAGCCGTTTCGTTTTAGTATGAGACTCCTCAACAGTGCGTATCCATTACTTCGCAAGTGGGAATCGAACCCAGGACATTTGATCTGACATGTGAACGCTTAACCTATTGACCAATGAGCCATTGTCTTCCAACGGTATTGATATCAATGAAAAACGACAATCTTCAAAACACTACAATGAATATCATACAATATGATCAGTAGTGACTAGCTCTGTGAGGAAATTTCCCCAAGTACTAATTATTAGTCGTTTTGGTAATGCCTAACTGCAATTAATCGACGAAATCGCACGACTATCATCCACCGTTTTCAGAAGGTAACAATTGTCCCACACGGTGATACCGACTTATTTTCACTACTCGCTGCATCTCACTAGAAATACGAGAATTCCGTTGAGAAGCTAATCACAAGTGGAGACATGATAATTATAAGTGTAGGGTTGTAAAGATTGTTGAATTTCATTGAAATCATGGACTGATCAAGAAGGTTTAGCGTTTGCACATGAGGCTGAATATCTTGAGGAGTTCGATTCCCGCTTGCAGTATCATGAATGCACGCACTAGCGAAGAATCCGATACTAGGACAAGACGACCGTCTAGTTGTTCCAAGTTTCCAATGGTAATCTATCAATAATCAGTGCATGATTTCAATGAGATTCACCAATCTTCACAACCTCATATTGACAAAAATATAATATTTAAAAATATTACACAACAATTTTTTAAAATTTATTTATTGACTTCATGTAACTCATCGCTACTGTTTCTGTTTTCTTCTGTTTTTTAGAAGCTGATTCATCTTTAATGGATTTCTCTGGTTACTTTCCATATATGTTACTTGAAGATAATTTAAAAGCTGAATATGAACGTACGTATGACTGACTAATTCTTTTTATTTATAATTGATTATTCAGTAGTATATATTCGATTTTTTGTTTCAAAAAAATTAATCAATTATAAACACTTTGGTTGACGAGTGTAAAATGAAAAATTTAGTTAGTTCTGTTCATAATTAGAGCGTGACTCAATTTGGTTATGAAAAATTATATTTTAGATTTTGTTTAAAAGGATTCGAACCTATGACCGACTCACTGGAATATCAAGTGTTTTCCATCAGTTTACTTTTCAGTCATAAAATATTTTGTTCAATTAGAGTTATGGAGATTAATGTTTTTACACATTGAAATCATCTATCAATCATCGTTAGACCACCATTAGAAACCTGGAAATACTGGACGGCCATTTTGTCCTGGTGCGGGACTCATCAGCAGTGCACATCCACGACTCCTGCACCTCACAGTATTTGAACCGAATACCTTCGGTCTTGTACCTGAACGCCTAACCTCTGGACCATTGGGCCGGTATCCAACTGTGTTAGCGTCTAACTCTGATCAGGCTAGATATTTCGCGCGACCTCACTCATTTGTCTCCGGTAGTTACTGCCTAAACGCGATAGGGTTGAGCATCACTGTTCACGTCTTCTCACTAGAACTCTGAGAAGCTTGTCAATAGTCAGCACATTTTATTTTATCAGTCATGTTAAATAATAACAGTGATAAGAAGAAATTTTTTTATATGAAATTGTGCTTATAAACAAGGTGATTATTGACTTTGTAAACAATCTTCTTGATGATATAAACGAATTTCTCTGTTTGATAAATTCATTAAAGAGTTATGGATTGTTTTTTTCCGTTGAAATCATAAATCAATCTTTAATAGACCACCATTAGAAAACTACAAGCACTGGAGAGCCACTTCATTGTAGTATGGGACTCATTAGTGGCAGTGCGCATCCATGACCCCTCACTCGTCGGAATCGAACCTTCGGTGTCGCCCGCAAACCCATGTATATATATATATATATATATATATATATATATATATATATATATATGTTTATTTAGACATATTGACTGCGAAATTCATCTTTGTGTAAATAAGAGCAGTATCAGAGCTCACCACTTAATTCAAGATCCTTGCTCTTTGAAGTCAAACCCAAGTCCTTCAGTCTCACGCGAGAACGCTTAGCCTCTACACTACTCAGCTGGCATCCACCGGTGTTTGGGTGTGACTTCATTGTATTCGGTAGGTAACTGCCTACACATGATAGAATTGATCTCCACCAATCACGACTTCTCCATTGTCTAGGTAGTAAGCGTTCGCGTGTGAGACCAAGGGTCCTGGATTCATGAATGCGCTTTGCTTGCAAGTAGTCGTATACGAGAATGAAATGGCCATCTTTCAATGCTTGCCGATTTCTCTCTATCAATGATTAATTTTTTTAATTTTTGAATTAAAAATTTTTAATTAAGAAAAAACGAATTATTTTTCCCAATATTAATTTATTCATCTCTAATTATCTATCTATCTATCTATCCATCTACAATTGAGTTCTTTCATCTGGTTCAGTTATTTCACACATCGTTATGTATGATTACATTGTCAATGATTAAAAAAAATGAGGAAAATTTATTCTCTTAAGAAAAAATAATAATTAAAGCTGTAAAAACAAATTTTTTTTAATTAACTTCTCCTCAGTTGTTGTTGTTATTATTGTTTTTCTGTAATCTGAACATAAAATATTTGTGCATTGGTTTAGAAAAAAGGCATTATTTTTATTATTATTATTATTATCGGTAGTCGTAGTGGTAGATACTATTCACAACATGGGTTTTTAAGTAGTATCCATCAAAGTGTTGCCTTAAAATTACGATTGGAGAGAAAAGTGACCGGCATGGTCAAAGAGTTTCAAAGATTAGCAAACATTTTGTAAGACAATAGACAATAATGTATGTCGGGCCGGTGGTCCGATGGTTAGACGTTCTTGCACAATACCGAAGGTCCCGGGTTCGAATCATGCGAGGTGCAGGAGTCGTGGATGCGCGCTGCTGATGAGTCCCGTACCAGGACGGAACGGGCATTCAGTGCTTCCAGGTTTCTAATGGTGGTCTAACAATGATTGATTGATGATTTCAAATGTGTAAAAACACAAATCTCTAAAAATCTAACTGAAAATAGTGTACTTGTTTTGCGATGGAAAGTCTGTGAATAAGTAATGCTCATTTCGTCAGTAAATTATGCCTTCTTCAAAAGCCATTACTACTGCTACTTACTGTATGTCTGTTGTGTGTGTGTGTATAAGTAGGGATTACCAATTTTCTTCGTGTTATTACTGATTTTACTGTCATCGTTATCTGAAAAACAATTGATATTCATTGGAATGTGATAATATTTTATTGTTTTTTTTATTGAGATTTTTGTTTATGTTTGTTAGATTGAAAAAAATTTTGCGGAATTGTTTTTGTTTTTCTTTTCATATATATTTACATAATTATTATTCATTTATTTTTATTTCTGTGATTATTTTTAATTTTTTTAAAAAAAAAACAAAGAAACAACTCAATAATACTACTTACTAATCTAGTAATCAGTATCTAACAAGATGAATAGCTTGATAGATTGATGTCATGACTTGGTTTGATCACCTTTAACTTTCTTCTAATGTATTCTCCTACAATGAACAAATATTTCTCATCAACAAGTATGACTAATATATGTTCTAATTACGTCAGATTATCAAACGATTTACACAATTTTCTATGCCCTATAACTTCACACATATTAATTACTCAGGAGTCAGACGAAATTCCAGCACGAATATAGAAGTCTAATTTGGCTTTTGCCAACCTGCGTCGATTATGGCGTAGGCAAGATATCGGTGTGCTAACCAATGGACGTGTCTACTTTACAGCATTTTGTCCTGTCCTACTATACGGGTATGAAACATGGCCATTAGGAATAAACGTTATTCGTAGGTTACTAGTACTCGATCGTAGGTATCTTCGAAGCCTCGATCGTATATCTTGTGACAACTGAGTAAGAAATTTCGGTGTTAGGAAAAGGGGAACAGGTAAAGACGGCAGATCGATTGATGCAATAGCGAGTATTCATCAGTTGAAATTTTAGGGACATGCGTTACGTATGCCTAACCATCGATGGGGGATGTTGTCTGATTTAGGCGTAGGCTTAGCAGCAACTGCAAAAATATTCCACAAAATTTGGAACGAAGAACAAGTGCCCACAAACTGAAAAGAAGGATACCGCATGAAAATACATAATAAAGGCGATCTCAGCAAATGTGAGAACTACAGAGGCATCACTCTTATCTCAATACCGGGCAAAGTCTTCAACAGAGTGTTTTTAAATGAAATGAAGGACTTTGTAGACGCCCAACTTCGAGATCAAAAGGCCGGATTTCGTAAGGATCGATCGTGTACCTACCAATTTGCAACATTACGGAATATTGTGGAACAATCGATTGAATGGAACTCACCACTCTACATCAACTTCATCGACTTCGAGAAAGCATTTGATAGTGTGGACAAAACAACACTATGGAGACACTACAGCGTGCCTGAGAAGACAATCGTCGTTATACAGAATTCTTACGATTTATTAACCTGCAAAATCGTGCATGGAGGACAGCTGGCAGACGCGTTCCGAGTGAAGGCAAGATTGCTTACTCTCACCCGCAGATGATCTTGCTCTTCTATCACACACGCAACAACAAATGCAAGAGGAGACGAAAAACTATCATTCACTTATACAAACTTTCAAACCATGAATATTTAATTACGTTCCCTTAGTTTTTGTTTCATGTTATTAATTGTTTCAGTTGAATAGATGCGGTGTTATGTGCGGTCTGCACAACTCGGATTCAGCTGGACGATCTAGAATTTGTATATGATATAGCTCTCTTATCCCATACGCAACAACAAATCCAAGTGAATACGAACTGTGTAGCAGCAGCCTAAGCAGCAATAGGTCTCAACATACATAAGGGGAAATGCAACAAGATGCACCAACCAAATCATTTTCGATGGAGAAGCTTTTAAAGATGTAAAAACGTTTACTTATCTGGGCAGCATAACTGATGAGCACTGGGGATTTGATGTGTATGTGAAGGCCTGGATTGGCAAAGCATGGGCAATATTTCTACAATTGAAGACAATCTGGAACTCAAAACAACTAACAGCCAACACCAAAGTCATTTTTACATTACAAATGTGAAGACAGTTTTACTGTTTGTGGCAGAAAGTTGGTGAACTACCAAAACCATCATCCACAAGTGATTATTAACAGTTGTCTACGCAAAATACTGAAGATCCGGTGGCCAGACATGATCAGCAACAATCTGCTGTAGGAGAGAAACAAACCAGATTCCAACGGATGAAGAAATCAGGAATAAGCGCTGTAGATGGGTAGGGTACACATTGAGGAAAGCACCTAACTGCATCACAAGACAAGTTCTCACTTGGAATCTTCAAAGTCAAAGGAGAATATGAGGACCAGAGAATCCATTATGCTAAGAAATGAAGACAGACATGAGAAGAATAAAGAACGTTTGGGTAGAAATATGAAGAAAGCCCAGGACTGATTAGATTGTAGAATGCTGGTTGGTGGCCTATGCTCCATTGAAGATAACAAGCTTAAGTAAATAAGTTATGTGCGATCGATGCGATATTATCATTAAATGTCATAATATGTACCCAAGTTATCAGTGTGAAACAGTGAACAAATTGTCGGTTACTCATCTGAAATCAACTGACTATACAGATCAATATGAATGAATTAGTACACTGATCATCACTAAAAATTCTCTGACTTCATTTCCAGTATTCACATCAAAATAACGAGTATTTTTTGTTGCTGTTGAAAAAATCTCTTATATTTTCAATAAATTTTCTGTAGAATTAAATTTTCAGGGTTACATTTCTAACAACTAGATTTTGAACAAGATAAGTGTGTCTGTCTATTGTTGTAAATATGATCAATTTTTCAGTTATAATTATCAAAACAAATCTCAAATTTACAATTGTCTGCTTTGTTTCATTCAATCAATGATTTTGTTTTGATGTTTGAATCATCTGTCCAACATATTAATCTCTCTCTCATTTTCATGTTGTTTGAATGTCACATCATTGAAACTACTCGCAAAAAGAGGTGTTGTTCTGTGGACATCAATTGAACAGATGAAATATTTATCAATCAATCAATCTCTCAGTCTATAAACGTTTTGTTTTTCATCACAAGTATCAATTAACTGTGTGTATATATGTGATGAGTAAGTAGTAGAGTGTTGTAGATCAAGTGATTAGAGAACACTGACATCTAATTTGATCTGAGCAATCGACTAGTATGACAGTTGTCCATGCCAAATACATTGTGTATAATCGACTACTACTGAGCAAGTACTGGTTCTATCATCATGATGCGTGATGTGTCATTTGAAATGTATCCGATTTGAAATGATCGAGTTTTATTGCTAACACTTTTAAGTGTATGGTATGATCATCGTTATTACTGTATTTTTGTTCATTACGGAAACGCAATAAATTGAGTAGTAAGCAATATTGTCAGTGTGCCTAGATATGCATATACACAGAGTATAACTTGTGCGCTCTCCCATATTATGTCTGAAGTGTATTTTCACTTAGGAGATAGACGGAAGTGTATGTATGCGTGTGTGTTTTGCGATGAATACCTGAATAACTAAACGAGCAACATCACAGATGGAAGATTTCATTGTATAGGTTGTACTTCAGATAGTTGTGATATCTACTATCTGGTTGAAGATACCCTCCTTTACTAACACTACTACTACACTACTGTCATCACTATTCCTCTAACCACTACTATCACTCACTACTCGTGTAGTGTATTGTTGATTGCTTCGAGTGATTGTTCTCTAGTTATTTTGATATTTTATTACAAGCTCATAAAATTTTTTTCAACCATAAAGCCATAGAAAATAGGAGAGGATGATTAGAAACATTAAAAATAAATGCTCTGTTTTTTTACTTCTCCTTGCTTAGTTTTGTCATTTTTTAATCATTACTGTCGTCAGTGTTATCAGATCAATTCATGTCATTTTTTATAGTGATTTGTCTATTTTGGTTCGAACAGACAGTATTTGATTTTTCATTAAAAATAGGATAGTTTAGTATGTGCCATATATATATATATATATATATATATATATATATATATGATTTGAATCACACTACTCGATTACCTAATTACTGAGTTATTAGCAACATATTACTCAAAACATACGTGTATTATCCAAGATCCATTACACTTGCTCAGATGCATCTATCTTTTATCTTCTTTCAAATTCTAAATTCTTCATGACATTTCGTTTGCTCTTTTTAAGTTTATCTCATTGCTTTATAAGTCTTGAATCGTATTTTCGATTCGCAATCTTTTTCATCGCCACTGATACTGTTTCAAACTCTACTGCTATGGGATTTGCATTGACAATTGCATCTCTTTGTGCGCTGATGTGATATGTCAACACACACTGATGTAAATACGTACTGAACGACTAACTAAACTATGTCTAACAATCCTCTCACATTCTCTTCAAATTTCCTAATATTTATTTCAGATTTTTTCTTAATATTCTTGTTTTATTTTATAGCTTTGCTTACATATGGTCGACTTCAACGAATTCGAACTGCACGTGAGTTATATGTGTGCATGCGTGTTTTTTTCTCTGTAACTTTTGAAAATTCCTCATTTCTTTAATAGCCTTCTGATGTGTGGTCAATTTCTTTGCGAAGATGATCAATTTCTGTATCACACTGATGCATTGTCATCAACAAAAACTCTCTTTTCTACTTCATATCAAAGTTTCATTCCGTTTATGTTCACACTAATGGGCAATATTTGTCTATATAATGTGTGCGCTAATTACTAGTTCGCTTTATGATCAATCAATGAAACCAGTAAACTTTTTCATTTGAAATCAAAAATCAATTATTGTTAGACCACAATTAGAAACCTGGAAGCACTGGGTGGCCTTTTTGTCCTAGTATAGGACTCATCGGTGGCAGTACGCATCCATCGAATTCAAGAACTCGCGTGATTACCTAACGTCCAAGCCATTAAGTCGGCATCTAATAATGTTAATGTCTAACTTTGATTAATCTAAAGTATTGCACAACCTAACCCATTGTCTTCAGTATGTGACTGCCTACAATGGACAAGGTTGACCTCTGCTAGCCACGGTTTCTCACTAGAACTCTGGGAATTTCTTCACGAAGCTAATTACTAGTGAGCCTAACAATCTCCATATCTATGTAATGAATACAATAACCTTTCGTCTAGTCACTAACACTAGCATTCGTGAACAGTTGTTGGAAATCCGGGCTCCTATTGGTCCATACACCTCCTATCTCTGTTGATCACTTAGAACAGCTCCGAGAACGAAACACCACCACAATCATCCACCTGAGCTACAAGTTTTCTCCACCAACTCAAGATCACTTAGAACACATAGACAACAAGCTGATTTATTTCCTATTATTGAATTTTCATCCTAAGTTTAAAACATGATTAGAAAGCACTGGGAATAAGAAATTACAATTTGTACATAACTAGGTAGTCATCTATATTATGTACATAATTAATCAATGGTAATTTATGAACTGTAGACTATTTATCGTCAGTATGAAGTTTTGAAGTTTATTGAATATCATTGAAATCACGAACCTATATATAAGTTAACTAACTATGGAAAACCTTTAAGCATTATGCAAGTTTCGTTCTAGTACGGGACTACTCAACACTGCTCATCCACAATCTTGTTCACAAGAATCTCATCTAACTATGGTTGGTACACATACCTCTAACCAAGATTAGTTATCACTCCTTCAATATTCGTTCTAATATTACACTTTTAAGGTAGTTTTTTTCCTGTTTTAAAGAATACCTCCAGGCTATGGTGTATACATAAAAGTAGAGTTGAAAGTGTTGGTCTAGACAAAAAAAGTAGAAGGATTTTTTTGCAAGAAAACATAGCAGCACCAATGATTAGTAATGAGTAGTAGGAAAAGAAATTGAGGAAATGTTTCCATTATCATTTTGCTCATATTTATATGTAGGTCTATCATAATCCAGTTTATTCTTTTTTACACTACACACACTATAACAATAAATGTGGAAATTGCATTACGGGCTTGTGAAGATTGTTAAGTTACACATTTGAAATCATGAATCGATCAATGTCGGACAAACATTATAAACCTGGAAGCAATGGAAGGCTGTTTCGTCCTGGTATGAGACTTATCAGCAGTGCGCATCTACGACTCCTGCACCTTGCAGTATTTGAACCCGTGACCTTCGGTCTTGCTCGCGAACGCCTAACCTCTGGACCACTGAGCCGGTATCTAATGGTGTTAATGTCTAACTTAATCAATTCACGCAGTTGCGCAACCTCATACACTGTCTTCGGTAATTACTGTCTTTACCTGAACAGTTTGAACTTCACTAGTCATGAACTTCCCACTAGAACTGGGAGAAGATTCCTCACGAAGCTAGTCACTAGTGAGCATAGGTGATTGCATTACGGGGTTGTGAAAGTTGCTACGTTACACATTGGAAATCATGAATTGACCAATGCTACACACCACCATTAAGAACCTGGAATGAAGACGGTTTAAAGTAACAGAAAAAAAATACTGTCAGAATTCAGTTTCATGCCATTTGGCATTCACTTATATTCTTCATTCTTTCTTTACAGTTCACAGTTGTTATTATCCCATTTTCATAGACTGATAAATCGCCAATGAATGAATCGATCCTTGATTAATTTTTAACTGTACAACGGTATATTTACATTGTGTATATTTAATTTAGAGCCATTCGAAGTCAGATCCTGTATTCATATAAAAACTGACAATATCAAAAGCACATACTGTATAGAGATGTCAATCAATTTCCAATTTCCAATTAAATTTATTCTTTTTTTTTTAAATTTCTTTCCCAGTAAAAGTTTTCAAATCACCAGCTAATAATACTCACGACTCTTCTTCTTCTACTAGCGCTAAAGATTATTCTTCTTTTAATAAAAAACCCATTCAACATTTGGATCATTCCATGAATGATTTTAAACAACCCACTGTGCTCTATAGACGTTTAGAGAATTTTAAACGACCACAACCGAATTGCTTCAATCGTACATCCACATTGAAACCAATTCATCAAAATGGTGAACATAATTGTTTACGTCGTGCATCTGTATTTGAAAATATTTTAAAATCAGCAGCTGATGCTGCACAAAATTGGAATCATCATTCATCAACCGGGAAATTATCAACAGAATCTAATGAAGAACAAATTAAAAATAATGATAAGGTTAACAACACTGATAAACCGTCTAATTCTTCTTCTTCTCCTTCTTCTTCCTCTTCTACTGCTTCTTCGGCCACGACGTCGACGACAGCGACCACGGTGACAACTGATCCACATACACGTTTAGTACAACGTTTAGATTCAATGATTTCATTAAGACGTCGTGATCAACAAAACACATTGTCTAATTTTACTAATACTAATCATACTACTACTACTACTGCTACTAGTAATGATATCGGTTCATCATATGATTCGTCGACTTCCCTAGATCATGAGGATGTTCATGGTCATCATTATCGAAAAGTAAATACACTGTTAGATCATCGATTTGGTTTTTCTTTAGGAGGAAATCATGTAAGTGGGTATTATTTTTTTTGGGGGGGGGGGTTGGTTTCAGTTTCTCCTTCCCTCGTGTAATTGATCGTTTTATATACTGAGTAGAGTAAAACATGCATGCCTTGTGTTATCAAATGACCTTCTGATTTGGCTTCTTGTGGTTGGCTCACGAGTCTTAATCACTTAACACCACACTACACATCCATGTTGAGATGTTGTTATTTGTTGGAGATATTTAACATGACACCCCGCTAGACACACCTATCATTCGTCCGAATTTTTCATGCATTAACAATTAACATGAAAACCTGATCGAGCTTAGGTTTTTAAGTCACTTTATAGGGTTATGGAGATTGTTGCTTTTATTGAAATCATGAATCAATCATTGTTGGACCCCATCATTGAGAAACCTGGAAGCACTGGATGGCCATTTCGCCTTGATATGGGACTACTGATCAGCAGTGCGCATCCATGATCCCGCAGGCGGGAATACAATCCAGTACTTTCAATCTTGTACGTGAATGCCTTACCTCTGCACTGCTGCACCAGTATCCAACAATGTTAGTGTCTAACTCTAATCAATCTAAGGTTTTGCACAACTTCACCCATTGTCTTCGGTAGTTCCTGAGTACACCCAACGGGGTTGAGCTCTACTCAAATATACTTATGTATATTCTGTTAAGAGATAGTGGAGAAAATTTTTGGCTTATATAAGTATGGCGAAGTGTCAATTAATGAACTGAACGGTGGAGCTTTTATTGTTCTTGTGAACAACATCATCATACTACAAACTCTTATTAAAATTAAAGTATTCGACCTCCGTCGAACTTGACCCATGACAAGCTATTGGTTATATGTGGAGAATTTTAGGTACTACTTCACTACTACCTGAAATTTACGCTTACAATAATGTTGTTATTCAGACAAAAACAAAGAAACCTCTACGACAAAACTATTCAGGTCAATGAAAACAAAACTTCACGATATTATAATTCTTCAGTTTAATTCTCAGTAGTATTCTAACAAGTGAGAAAAAAAAATAGCTTAAAAGGAATAAACTCAATTATAATCATACTTTCTTCAATTTTTTATTTGTTGCTATGGTGTGTGCTTTTTTTTCGCTTGGTTATCAATAGTAGCGGTAAAATCATTCTACAGGAAAAAAAAATGAAAAAAATAAGTACTTCTCTAGTTAGTGTGATGATGTTTTTTTTTTTTTTTCAATCAACAAGAAAGAAATTGTCATTTCAGCTTATATCGCGCTTTGTGTATGTCACTTGTGTAGATGAAAGTTTGACAAACAAATTGGCATTGTTAACTATGTAACGACGGTTGATTTATGCAAAGTTTTTTGCAAAAATTAACTTTTTTAATGTCTACTACTACTACTACCATTACTATTAAAGTAGTAAATCTAGGTTAAAATTCAAAAAAAAAATTACTCCTATACAAATGGATTTAAAAATTTCTCACTGATTACGATGAAATAATACTGATGTTAGAGAATTTAAAAAGGGTTTTCAACCTTCTCTATTGATAAAAACATTACATGTAGTACGATCTATGTATATTTTACAATTCTATGCAGTCATTATAGTTTTTGCTCATGTAGACAGGTACAACGCAGAACTTCGTACGTAAGAACATCAGTTCAGGTTGTCATACCACAATATTAGCACAGAGACACAATTGTCAGTTCAAATCCAAGAGCGATAGCGATAGTAAAAGAATTAGCAGTAATGGAGAAGATTAGGGAGCGAAGATATGATTCGAGAAGTGTAATTCAGTGAGATAAATTTAGAAGAAGAAATATAAAGAGATTATGAGGAATCCAGAAGGTTAGAGTTTGAGAGAACACAAAGAGTGGATGCACCTGCGCCATTGCAAACGATTCTGAGCCATGTCGTTCAAGGTCTCTAACCATCAGTGACTTTTGTCTCGCGGACCCCAACCAGATAGCCTACATCTACCAACATGACTCAGTCCACTTGTCAGCGACTTCATGCATTTTTGCCATGTTTCGGTTTCGCCGCCCCTAACTTTCTTCCAACCTACTCCTACACCACAAAACATAGCTCGTCGAGGCAGTCGGTGGTTAGGCATACGTAACACATGTCCCAACCACCTCAACTGATGAAGTTTCACTACTTCATCTATTGATTTGCCATCCTTACCTAGCAATCCTATCCTAACGATAGGATTGCTTACTCGATCGTCTCATGATACACGAACAATGCTTCGGAGACACCGATGATCGAATACTAGTAACCTACGAATGTTCTCTACTCTGAACGGCCATGTTTCTCATCCGTATAGTAGGAAGGAGCGAACTGCTGCACAGTACACTCGTCCTTTGGTTAACAAGCGGATATCTCGCCTGCGCCATAAGTGACGCAAGTTGGCAAAAGCCAATCGAGCCTTCTGTATTCGAGCTGAGATTTCGTCAGTCAACAGGCCATCAACTCTGATCAGACTCCCCAGATAAGTGAAGCGGTATACACATTCGACTACTTCACTCCCTATCGCTCATGTAAGTGCATAAACATTGGTAAAAAGGAGCACCTAAATACTATACAGATACCTAAACCGAATCACATCATTTCCTTAAAAGGTCACCTCTTGAACCTTTGACCTAAAGAATTTATTCTACAAGGGAGTGAAGCAACATTAGAAAACACAGTTCCATGATAGCCAGTGACCAGTAATAGTCTCCTATGCTATTTGTTCGCTTTAGGATCCTAGAGTCATTACCATTATTACTACCAATGTTATATCCACATGGGAGTGGAGCAGCATGAGGAAATACAGTCTCATGTTAGTCGGTGACCATTTGAACAACTTTCAACCACTTCTAATCTCATTAAAATCATGAATAGATCAATGTAAAAATACCATTAGAAACGTAAAAGCACTAGATGGTGGTTTCCTCCTAGTATATGGGACTCATCAACAATGCTTATCCATCGGCTCTCAAGCGAGTATCGAACGTAAGACTTAGTTTTGTGCGTGAACGTTTAACTTTTCGACCGGTAATCGGGCCACATTCAACGGTGTTTCAATTATTTACTGACTTGCTTACGCCTTTTGCCCCTAATAGAGCGTAGGCCACTGACCAACATTCTCTAACCTACTCTACCCTAAGCCCTCCTTTCTATTTCTGTCAAATCGTTGCTCATTCTTCTCATGTCTGTCCCCGATTCTCTTTCTCATTTGGCTTTGAGGATTCCAGTTAAGGGCTTGTCTTGTGGCGCAGTTGAGTGCATTCCTTAATGTGTGTCCTATCCACCAACGTCAGCGCTTCTTCCTGATTCCTTCATCCACCAGAATCTGGTTTGTTCTCTCCCACATTAGGTTTTTGCTGATGATGTCTGACCAACGGATCCAAAGTATTTCACAACGTTGTATTAATCTCTAATCTATAATATGACAATTCATATGTGTTTACTTTCATATTTGTTTTACCCGTTTTTTTATGTTTATATATAAATTCTTCTTATAATTTTAGAATTCAAAACATCTACCTCAATCAACAGATCCATATACTTTGAAATTATTATTATCTTTACTACCACCGCCACCACCAACATCTTCAACATCATCCTCATCATCGACATCATGTCTAAAACGCGTTGATAGTCATAATGATCATGATGATGATATTAAATCAAAGAAGCACCATACATCATTTTCATCATTTCATAAACATTTAAACAAAAAATTACATCGTTCATTGTCCAATTCCTCGTCAACTGCTACATCATCTTTATCACTGTCATCATCCTCTACAAGAACTCATATTAAACCTAGTTCATTTAAGTATAATCACAGTAATAATACTCATAATAATATTAATACTATTAATACTAATGGTACATTGCATGAATTCCACTCATTACCACATCGAATACATTCTTCAACTACTAATGAATTTGACAATGATCATGTCATCAACCATGATGCCTATCATTCACCTCATCTTAAATCATTATCAACTACAGCTTTATTAGCTGAAACAGATGTACGTCAATTATTCACTAATAAACTTACTACTATAATTAAACGTAAATCATCAACTATTAGTCAACATTCTAATTTATCATAATGATTGATTGATCGATTGATCGATTGATTTGTAATCTGTCTGTCTGGCTGTCTCTCTCTCGCTCTTTCTTACACACACAGACACACAGAGAAAATCTGAAATCACATTAATCATCATCCTTCTCGGGCTCGCCGCTTGATTTGAATCTCATTGGTTTATTTTAATTCTATTGCTAAACTGTTGTATATGATTCTGTCACATTTGCATCTACTTCATTCTGATAATCATGTCTTTTCATATTCAATGTTACTTATCCGCATAGATTTTATTATTATGATTATTATTACTAATATTATTATTTTGTTAGAAATTCAAGAATTCATCCTTCTTTTGGTTTTTTTTCTTGTTGAAATGCGTAATAAAATTTTTTTTACATATATATGTTTTATTTTCTATTGGTAACTACTGTTCATTGTTCCGTTTGCATCAACACTATCGTCGTGTGAAGACAGGAACTCAATTTCATGTTGCTGATGTTATTGTTGTGTGTGTGTGTGTTTCTTTTTAAATGTGTTACAGGTATTTTAATTTGATTGGTATGAGTTAGGATAATGTCTGGGTTCTTTTAGAAGGTCATTCATTACTCCTTGAACCTTTGATCTAGATGTTTAATCCACATGGGGGCGGAGCAGCATCAGGAAATACTGTCTCATGTTAGTCGGTGACTATTTGTTCACTTAGGATCGCTTATTCGATATGCATCATTGGTTTGAAATGATGTTGTTTGTACCAGTTAACGCGGTTCAAGCTTCCCCTGGATGTTTGCTTTTCATCCTTTCAATTTCATAAACGACAACCTTACTGCTTGAGAAGGCAAAAAGTAGAATTTGCCTAATGGTACCTATACATGTGTAAACATATGAGAACATTTCGATAGGGAAAATGAACTTCTTTTTAAGCAGAGCATTCGGGGTCCTAATGTATGTAAATTTAACTTACTCTCTTATGCCTTTTCCCCCACTAACATTGGTGGCCAACCAGTTATGTATTTAAATTAGTGGTTGCTCTGGTTGTTGAAATGGACATCGGTCTCGTTATTTCCATAGAGACTTGGCTTTCATCGTGAGACTTCATGACTCTTGTAAGTGAAGACCTAATTCCCAGGGAAGAGTTTACATAGTGTGAATTATTTTTTCTGGTTAAGGTATTTTAGCGAGTTATTTTTCCGCAGTATGGGGTCGTTAACCCTCCTTACTCCCAACCCTCCCCTCCTTATCCGGACTTGGGACTCTTGGTAACCCCAAAGAGGTTCCATAGGGAGTTTATCACAGTTAACTTGTGAAATAATAAAATTCTAATTTTTAGGTTACAATTCGCTTTAATCAATCAGTTAAGATAAATGACTAAACACGTAAACGTAATTCAAACACGATCGTTCAATATAATCGAATTGAAATTACTTTTGCTAGATGCTTACAAATTGGTTGTTACCAAGCTTATTTAGATTTTCAGCTGATTACATCATCACTCATTGAGTCGATTAGTACACAGTTGTTCATGGTGATTTCACACTTAGTATCTCTTCTCTATTCATTCCACTGAAATTCACCACATATCTACCTTTGTAATCATTATCTATTATGCAACACAAATTGCATTCTCTCTCTACTTGTTAAGCGATCCGTTGGAGTTCTTCCCTTGAATATCACTTCATGTCTTCACATGTCTACAATGAATACAAGCGCATTCTTCATTGGCCCAACCACTTACAATCAAGATCCATTGAAATCATCAACAGATCGGGATGCTAAATGTTATTGTTCCTCAACAATTTGTTTGTTTAGAGTATATGCTTATAAAATTACTATTAACTTTATTGGAATCAATAATTTTTAAATTAATCCGAATGAACTGTCATGTCTAATCGTCAAAGCTAACAGAATCTATTTGAATAGACCCTTTTATGTATTGATAGTAACATCCTTACACTTATCCATTACCGGTGTGGTGCGCGCTACTTATAAATAGTATATGACGCGAGTAAAAACGTAATGTCTGGCGGCAGAAGATGGGGGAAGAGCGGGAACACAATAGGATTTGCATGAAACTTATGAACAGTGAAATGTCAGACAATGGATTGATGTTTTGCAACAGAAACAGTCCAGTTCGATATGATGGATTGATATTTTGCAAATTAATGATTTACGATATGGTTTTCCTATTTTACCAATTAACTCTGTAATTTGAGATAAACACAATTTGGTTGCCCTCACCTGTGTTCTCCTTCACTACACCGGAAATTTGTAAATAAACTTCCGATGAATTCAATTTGACGAAAATCTTACCTCCATTCAGCTTGGTAAATAGATCTTCAGACAAAGGTAAAGGATATTCCAGAGCTTCAACTAGACCTGTTGAGTCATTAGCACGCAGACAGAAACTGTCGTTGGATTTCTTAACGATCAATGTCAGAGTAGCCCAATCCGAAAAATATACTAGTTCGATTACATCAACTCTCTGAAGTCATTAAAACTGTTGTTCGGCTATTAGGAGAGCCGGATAAGGCAAAAGCTTTTTCAGTCTAAATATTGGCTTAGTTCTGAGTTGTAGGGTGAGGGTAGCTTTCGATACAAATCATTCACCCAAATCATCATGTCGTTTTAATAATGCATCGACCAGAATTTTTTTGTCTATTTCCATGGCCTCCATTTTTGCAGATCAAGTTGATGAGGAAATCGTTCAACTCCATCCTCTCTATGCATTTTTAGGGTCCACATTTCCTAACCCTTCCTTCCTTGTGAGAAGGCAGCATCGCTGCAAATGCTGGTTGTCCGAGGGAAACACCTTACTGCTGTCACACCTCTCTGCAGTCAGCAGTACGACTTCGTCCTCAGACCTTGGGTAGCTGCTTTTAGTCTCATCGTTCTCCAATTGACCTGCCTGGCATGGTAGAACCTTCAGGAACATGTGTTCCAGCCAATATAGCTCGGTTGGGTCATCACGATAGGCAAGCCCGACCACCACGTGAAGGTAGCAGCTACGGTCGGGTTTTATTTTATTAATAAAAGATTTGGTTCTCAATATCACTTGACATTTTAAACGATGAAAAAATAAGAAAAAATCGATAAAGGTTGCACATTGCAGGAATCACCAAATCGTGTTACAAAACAAGCCCTATCCTGGAAAATAAGACAACCAAAGGACTTATCACTCCAGGAATCGGAAGTGAATATCAAAAGAATGAATAACACTTGAGAATAACTGGTAAGGCGAGCTCGGGAGAGAGTTGGTTGGAAAATCCTAGTTAGTTGCCTATGCTCCGAGAAAGGTAACAGGCACAAACAGGTAAGTAAGATTGACAATTTACCTAAGTAATTTTGTCCTTTAATGTAGTTCTGTGACACATGTTAATCTTCATTCATATAATATGTGATTATCGAACCAGTTATCCAAATCAATTTAAATTAAATTTATGATTTGATCCTTGTTAGATCATCATTGGAAACTTTGAAGTACTAGATTCGTGTTTCATTCTACGGTAGGACTGCTCGTTAGTAAGTATCCACGACCCCGCACACGAGAATCGAACTTCGATCCTTGATAATCCGCTTTCATCATCCATTGTCTTCGAAGAGCACCTACTTCCCATTCGTTACAGATTGAACTAAATTGGTTAATGTTTGTCACTAGAATTCTCCGAATTCCCTTCCTCATAAAACTAGTCTAACATTAATCAAATCCCTAGTCTCAATGAATCTGAAACCATATCTATCTATTAAAAAAATAAAACAAACCCGAAAATGAATATGAGTTTTATTTTTAACAATTTGAATGACCATATATAAATAAATAATATCATGATGAGTGATTTAGATTTACTTTTCGTTTTAAAAAACTTGTCTGTTTCACAATTTTTTTGTTTTTGAAAGGCGGCATAAAAGAGGATGGAGCCGATAGAGTTACGTTACCATGGTAAACAGTGCAATTCACTTTTTAGAAAAAATAATAAAAGTTATTTAATTATTAGTCTAGATTCTTTATCCCAATTTCTTTTCTCAAACAAAGCTACTTTATTTTTTCAAAGAAACATTTTAACGTAGTGGTTTATATTATCTATATACAAATATATATATATATATATATATATATACTAATCATGATAACATTTATTTCTGTCTCCTTAGCTAAATTTGAAATAAATTTTTATATTTTTATGTTGTACTTTTAAGTGATGCTAACTGTCAGTAATTTTTTGTATACGAATTTTACTTTATGAAACATTATTCTCATAAACAACTCTAACAATAATCTGTGATACAATGAATTTTTAATTGATCATAAACAAAAGATTACAATTCAGTCAGTCAAGGAGAGAAGATTTGGGCTTGAAGATATGATTTGAGAAGAGTAAAAAGATAGTGAGGAATATAGAACAATAAAATTTGAGAGAAGACAAAGAAATGGATACATCTATGCGATTTCGAACGATTTTGAACCATGTCATTCAAGGTCTCTGACCCGCGATTGTCTCACCCAACCCAAACCTATGAGTCTGTATCTACTAACATGACTCTGTCCGGTTGTCAATGACTTTATGGATTTGTGTTATGTTTCGGTTTGGCCATTCTTAGTTTTCTTCTGGCTTACCCGTACATCAAATAATATCGCTCGTTGAGGCAGTCGGTGGTTCAGTGTATGTAACACGTCTCAACCACTTCAACTGATGAAGTTTCAATACTCTATTAACTAGTCTTCTATCTGTACTTAGTACTTGTTTCCTAACAACAGCAATGTTTATCCGATTGTCCTAGGACATACGAGCAATGCTTCTAAGACACCAAGGATTGAATACCAGTAACCTACGAATATCATTGCTTCTTAGTGACCATGTTTTAGATCTGTGTGACTTCGTCACACACCAGGTCATCTGCAGTGATGAAACTGCCGAGATAAGTGAAGCGGTCAACACGCTCAACTACTTCATTTCCTATTATTAGTTTAGGTGCCGATGTAACCCAATCCTGAAGCAATATTTTGCATTTCGAGGGGGAGAACCGCATCCCGAACATGCTTTCATTGTTGTATAGGGTAGGCAGAAGATTCTGCATTTTGTCATCATCGTTACTAGATAGAACTATGTCGTCGGCATATTGTAGGTCAACAAGCGTGCCTCCTGGTAGAAAGTTCACCCCTGAAATTTCAGATGAAGATAATATTGTCTCTAAAAGTATGTCTGTGACAAAGTTAAACATGAATGGAGAAAGTGGACATCCTTGACGGACACCACTTGAAGTGAATAATTCCGATGACAGTTCCCCATAAGCTCGCAATCAACCTGTAGTGTTTGAGTTGAGAGCTTGTATAAGGTTAATGTACTTTTTTGCTACACCTTTCAGTTACAGACACTGCCAAAAAG